CAAAGAAAGTAGTGTCCGATAGCCCGGGGCTAGTGGATTTTGCTATCGAGCTAGTGAATTTTGAACTTAACTTGCCCGATGGGCAAGTGAAGTTTTTTTGAGGAATTCAAACTAACGAAGAACTGTGAAATCAATTCTGCTCATCAAAACGGTTTGGGGGCTAGTTGAAATGACATTTGGGTTAGTATATGCTAGCTTCAGCTTGCCCGAATGGCAAGCTTTAAAAATCACCTTCTTTGCACCCTGGTAAGAGAGAAATTTTCCTATCCACTTGTCCTTCACAAAAGCAATACATTAAATTTGGTTGTCCAAAACCTAGAGTTCTTGTCCAAAAAGTTTAGCTTGCAACGGGCATTTAATGTTTTAATCACATTATTTAATCACATTATTACCCTTTATTTTTGAATAAAACCTACAACAGAGTTTGTAAAAAAACAAATGGATGAAACGACTGGCAGTGGAATGGCAAAGTTAAATGGAATATTGTTTCTTATCTTTATTTTTCTAATTAAAAATGTGCTTGTCCCACGGACAAGTCATATCAAAGGTTTACATGTTCGAACTAAATTTCTACCTGTCCCGGACTAAAGTTCCAAATCAATAAACATCCCTAGCCTTCTCATGAGCTCCACCAAAGACTTTCAGGGAAAATATAGAAACATATAAGCACCTCATTCCCAAAAGTTTCAAATTTTCCTGAAACTTTACCAATATATTTTTTTCCTTTTTAATACGAAATGTTCAAGGTTCCTAGTTAATGTAACAGGAGTGAAGCCACTTTGCTATTTAAAGCCCTTATCCTCAATGTTGAAAACAATGCCTGTAAATAAAGCAGCCTATTTTCTTTCCTTGCCACGAGGGACATTTCACAAGAGAGACAGTTGTATTTGCAGATTAATAATGGTGTATGTAGACAAGAGAATCCAAAACAGCTATGACTGCTATGACTCTCTTAACAGTCTTATCTTTCACAACTTGTTTCTTTAAATTTTATTTTCCTTTAAACCTAGATTTACTGACGATACAACTATGGTGCAAATAGAACAATTTCTGGTTTCTAACATGACTGTGTGCTTTGCTTCCCAAAAAGTAAGGCATTCAATTTCCTGACAGTATGTGCTGCACTATATCCTCTCAAGAACCACAATATAATTTCATAGGAGCAGTGCACAATGAAGATTAAAATTAATGGTAATATATGAAATGAATCATACTTTGAACTGCAGATGAAGGTATGAAACTGTGAAGATGTTAACAACTATGTTGGCACTTACATGAAAATACATTCTAATTCAATCATGGTCTGCATTAGCTATGCATTGAAAGACTCATGAAAATGTCTATTCATTCTCTGTTCATTTAAGTTAAAACCCACGTAATTTAAAATCAAAAATAAACTTTTGTATCTGCTTCAAAAAATACATGCATGCTGTTAAATTATTCACCACTTATGACGCTATGACTGCCCGGGGAATTGGGAAGCTTGGGTTTGTTATTGACTGACGCATGAAAATATAGAACCAGACTACGTAGATTATCTTTGCCTACTTGCAAATTCAACACTTGTTAACACTTTTCTATCCTGTTTATTAGTTCTTCTATAGTCTGTGAAGATTTTCATAAGAATGGTTGTATCACATTACATGTAAGCTTACTTTATACAGATGTCCTTTCTTAATTCCATTATTTTCTTTTAGTAATCCCAGTACCAGTGACCAAACTCCTATTTTCCAGTACAAAACAAGGAAATTCTACTCCTTCAGACCCCCAAAGTCCTTACATGATTTTACATTATCATCTTCAACGTCATGGTCTCGTTGCTAGCTTAGTATTGAAAGGTTATGCCAAATAAATACACATGTTTAGTTATAATTTACTTTAAACGGTTAATGCTGGTTTCATTGCTCACTGAAATGTTAGTTACTGAGTACTTGAGACAGTCATTCGAACTCGTCATAAACAAGTTGGAATTAAGCTTAAAAAGTTAGAGAAAAGGCGAGCCAGGACAACTTACCTTGCCTTACTATCAGCTCTTTTCAGCGAGATCTTGAGTATCGAAGAGCCTTAGTAATACGTGTAATACAGTCTTCGTCTGTGTTGTGAACATTCCAGTGTTAATGCTTGTGCTTCATCACACGATGTTTCTGTCTCCATTTTTGACTGAGTATCTCGTCCCGAAAGGGTTGCTGCACACTTGAGAAGTGATCGATTACTAAAGGCTGATAGTGCTATTATAAATTGTAACAACCTTAAGATGTCCTGTGATGCTATCAAGAAGCATAATATAATATATGAACGATCTCCAACCTTTCAAAGACGCAAGTTTGAAACCGTTGGACACTTTCAAAATGGACGCCAAATCAACGAACCTGATTGAGCATGTGCAAAGGAACAAGCCCGCTGACCAGGTGTCCCTTCACTCGATTGTTTCCAGGCCCCTTTCTTTTAACAAATTGTCCGTTCCCAAACCTGAAGTCCGCGGACTTAAAATAAGGAAGCGATAAAGGAGGTTCAACGATGAAGCCAGTACTCCGTTGAATGTAAAATGGTCACAGTAATTTGTGAATGCGTTCTTTCTCTTTAAGTAATGCGTTCTTTCTTTAAGTAAGACTCGCCGTTTTTGCGAGGCGATATTTTTTCTTTATTTTCCAATTATTTCAATTTGATCAAATTACAGTTGAAACTCTCTACAACGGCCACCTTAGGGACATCGAAAAAAGTGGCCATAGTAGAGAGGTTGAAAGAAGAGTAAATGTATGTCATGTATGGACCGTCCGCCGAAAAAAAAAAAACAAAACAAAAATGGCCCGTGTAGAGAGGTGACTGTTAAGGAAGAAACACCTTATACTGACTGAAATCAATGAGGGAATACTACTGAGTATTGAAGGCTATTGTGTTTGCCGCGACAGATATGCCGTTTTTCGAAAATTGCCGCACAGTCGCAAGCTATATCTTTGCATGAACTCTGCCAGCAGAATTTTCTTTTCAGCGTCATTTTTAAGCGTGTACGAAGTCGTTTGCACCACCAAAAAAAATTTGCGTGGTTGGCTTGTTTACATCACACGCCAACATCGAACACCAAATGAGTGATCAAAAAAACTATGCGAACTAGTATCAGGACACAAACGACTTACTAAAAACAGTGCCGGGAATAAATTGCTGTTAGGAATTAAGCTAGCATTATATGACAACCTTACTAAACCTTTACTTGTAGCGTAAATGAGCGTAAAGCTGTTACAACAACTTTATGCTAGCTTTACGAAACCTTTAAGAGCCGAGCGCGTAAAGTTACCTTTACAAACCTTTACGCGCCGTGGAAAGTTAGCGTAAAGTTGGATGACCAACTTTACGCAGGTTTACTCAAACTTTAATTTTGCGTAAATCTCCATTTTCATGCTGTGAATCTACCAAAAGAATTCAAATATACAACTGTGTAACTAACAGAACGGTAAAGAACAACATTAAATTGCCAGTAGACACGCCTCTAAAGTGCCTTTGTCACGTATGGCATAACCATGAAAAAAGCAGAAATTGACTACTTATTCCCGATATTTTTCAGGTGACTATAAAACAAGTTTCAACTGCACACGACTGGTCATAAACTAAGCTACGAAACGTACACTGTAATTTTCAGACTACAAAAAAACTTCAACTTATTTATAAACAGCATATAATTTTCTCTTCGGGACAAAGTGTTCGTATTCTTGGTAGGAACGCTCCACTTCGTATTTCCGGTGTTACAGATTAGAAACTGACTCCAACTGAACTTCAGATAATTAGGAACTGCTTCACTGCATTCTTCATCGTACCTATACAATACCAAAAACAGCAAAATGCAACATTAGCAAAGTAGCTGAAGAGAAGGATAGCGATTTCAGCGAGCGAAAAAACATTTTGACAGCTGACTTCTAAGAGTGCGCTCTATTTCATCGTATTCCGGAGGTTCTGTTACCAGCCTAACTCTTCTTAACACTACGAATTTTTGGACCATTTAAAGTTTATATAGATCACAATACTCTATTTCAATCATTTTTGTAGATATTGCAATACAATGAAAGTTAAAACAAGAGATTTCTTGCGAGTTTATTCCATTTCTTCCTGTTTGGGACGCGGAATACGGTGAATCGAACACGCCTTAGGACAAAGTATTGTAAACTTTATATTTCTTTAAATAATTACATTGTAGTTGTTTTTTTGTTGTTGTTGTTACAGAGCAAAGGGTCACATTTAAACTAGTAAATTCAACCACCGCTAACACTTATTGTAGATTTAAAGAAACTTGCATACCATAAGTCCTCTATTAAGCCCCCCTCTCTAATAAACTCTCCTTTTAAGGGAAAAAAGTTATTAAACCCTCTCTCTAGATCTCTTTCAAGCCCCTTCTCCCAATTCACAATAAACGTATGATAATATGGTTTACTCACGAGCTGGAAGTTTGGAAATGATTTTAATCTTCGGCTTCATGCATGACGTCCAACTTCATGTGCCTGAACTTTACTACTTAGCTTTCAAGTTCTTTATGGAGAAATGGTTCCAAAATCTTCGCTTAATAAAATACACCCCTCTCTCAAACGTTGTTGAAATGAATGAACCCCCGGGAGGCTTAATAGAGGATTTACCATATCTGGAGACTTTCCTAAGCGACCACCTTCCGTAAAATGAGCGATCAGAAATTTGATCTTGGGATTTTGGGTCGTCTCTTACATCAAGTTCGACTGTAAGTTTCAAGGAACGAATTCAAACGGGGACACCGACATGTTAAAATGTAAAGATATCATTAGATTTGAAATAAGTTTTGTAGTTTAACTGCCAAACAAACTACTAAAGTCAGACATTTTTGTTGCTGTCAACCTGTGATAGGCACATTGACGTTATAAGTGGTACCGGTTAAGTTGGTTCGATTCCCTATAAGAGGCAGAAATAACTGCTAGTTAAAATGACGTGTGCAAAAGCAGGGATTATGATCCCAGCTTTAAATATATCTCAAAATACCTTGCCATTTAATCGATGCCTTCAAACTCAAGCGTTACATCATCACCAATGAGAACAAACGGCGCCCAGTACTTCACTGCGCTAAAGCGGTCAGATTCTCTCATGGATTTCATGGCTTTATTCAGGGCCTCACTGGCACTTCGTCCATGGACCAAGCATTGGTAGAAAACTTTCATGAACTCCATAGTAGCTTCGTCGTCGATCGCCCACAGGGACACCAAAACAGAACGAGCACCAGCACCCAAAAATGCCCGTGCGATGCCGACCACACCCTCAGATTTAACTTCTCCCCGAGCACTATGACAACAGCTAAGTACAACAAGTCTTGCCCTTATCTGCGCCTTTAAAACATCTTTCATAGTTAAGAGATAGTCCTCCCTGGCTGGATTCACGTATGAACGTGTTGTGTTTGGGGCCAAGGCAATTTCTCCTGTTTCCATTTTACCGTGAGCAGCAATGTGCACCAAAGCAACCGAGGAGATACGTCTCAAAACTTCATCTTTTGTTGCCTGCTTTCCAATGAGAGGTACAGTTTGAAGTATTTCCCCAATCATCTGCACTTCTTTTTTAGCCCACTGTAACTGCTCTAGCGTCATTCCTTCATAAACTACCTCCTGCACCCACGGATCGCCAACGAGAAGAGCGCCCGTCTTGCTGTGCCAATCTGCTGGACAATTTTGGATTAATCGAAGACTAGAAAGTGAAGGAAGCAGACGAATTCTGAAAGTTTCGCAGAGGTACTTAGATTTCAAGTCCTTGAAAGCAGCATAAGGCGCCAAATACAGAGGTCCTTGTGGAACGACCACAACCTCGTCGCCCAGGAGTAAGTCTCTTATAGGGTCTATAACAACATTGTAAAATGTTTGTAACGACTTTGTCTCACAACATGAAGGATGAGACTTTAACTTAAAGGATCTTTCTTCTTTTAACTCTTTATCGTTTGGGTTTCCTAACGAGCGATCTTCACAATTAACATCAGCTCTCACACCTATTTCTATATGTGTAGTTTCCAAAAGAGACTGAAAATAGGTTGTGACGGATATATCAATCAGAGTTCTTCTAGTTTTGATTTCTTTTCCTTTCTTGCTCACCCAGAGAACTATTCCTCCCTCGTTGATACCTATGAAAACTGTATTTGATGGTAAGTAACTAGGAAAGTCACTTGGTCTTGCAGAAAGTGTTCCTATTTCTGGGCGTAGCCCTTTAAGGCCATACTTGGACTCCAGAAGATCATTTAAAGCTTGCGCACGTCCATGATCAGCAGTTAAAAGTGCCTCAATGACTTTACCTTCCTTAAACTGCAGCCGCCATAGCATCAAATTAATATTTTCATACTTATTCCCGAGCGTAATCTTCCATTCGTCATTAGATATGAGATTTGCCCTGATGTGGTCGAAAGCAATAACAGTCTTCTTATAATAATGAATGGCTTCCTGGAAATTTCCAAGATTTCTAAAGGCGTTGCCAAGATTACCGTACGCGCTTCCTTCTCCTACCCTGTCTCCCACTTCTTTCGAAATTTTGAGGTGTCGTTCATGGTACTCTATGGCCTTCTGAAAATCTACAAGATTGTGATAGGCGTTGCCAAGATTACTGTACGCTCTTCCTTCTCCTGCCCTGTCTCCCACTTCTTTCGAAATTTTGAGGCCTCGTTCATGGTACTCTATGGCTTTCTGAAAATCTCCAAGGCTGTTATAGGCGTTGCCAAGATTACGGTACGCTCCTCCTTCTCCTGCTCTGTCTCCCACTTCTTTCGAAATTTTGAGGTGTCGTTCATAGTACTCTATGGCTTTCTGAAAATCTCCAAGACTGTTATAGGCGTTGCCAAGATTACAGTACGCTTTTCCTTCCCCTGCCCTGCCTCCCACTTCTATCGAAATTTTGAGGTGTCGTTCATGGTACTCTATGGCTTTCTGAAAATCTCCAAGATTGTCATAGGCGTTGCCAAGATTACCGTACGCTCCTCCTTCTCCTGCCCTATCTCCCACTTCTTTCGAAATTTTGAGGCCTCGTTCATGGTACTCTATGGCTTTCTGAAAATCTCCAAGACTGTTATAGGCGTTGCCAAGATTACGGTACGCTCTTCCTTCTCCTGCCCTGTCTCCCACTTCTTTCGAAATTTTGAGGCCTCGTTCATGGTACTCTATGGCTTTCTGAAAATCTCCAAGACTGTTATAGGCGTTGCCAAGATTACAGTACGCTTTTCCTTCCCCTGCCCTGTCTCCCATTTCTTTCGTAATTTTGAGGTCTCGTTCATGGTACTCTATGGCTTTCTGAAAATCTCCAAGATTGTGATAGGCGTTTCCAAGATTACCGTACGCTCTTCCTTCTCCTGCCCTCTCTCCCACTTCTTTCGAAATTTTGAGGCCTCGTTCATGGTACTCTATGGCTTTCTGAAAATCTCCAAGATTTCTAAAGGCGTTGCCAAGATTACGGTACGCTTTTCCTTCTCCTGCCCTGTCTCCCACTTCTTTCGAAATTTTGAGGTGTCGTTCATGGTACTCTATGGCTTTCTGAAAATCTCCAAGATTGTGATAGGCGTTTCCAAGATTACCGTACGCTCTTCCTTCTCCTGCCCTGTCTCCCACTTCTTTCGAAATTTTGAGGCCTCGTTCATGGTACTCTATGGCTTTCTGAAAATCTCCAAGATTTCTAAAGGCGTTGCCAAGATTACAGTACGCTCCTCCTTCTCCTGCCCTGTCTCCCACTTCTCTCGAAATTTTGAGGTGTTGTTCATGGTAGTCTATGGCTTTCCAGAAATCTCCAAGACTATCATAGGCGTTGCCAAGATTACCGTACGCTCCTCCTTCTCCTGCCCTGTCTCCCACTTCTTTCGCAATTTTGAGGTGTCGTTCATGGTACTCTATGGCTTTCTGAAAATCTCCAAGACTATCATAGGCGTTGCCAAGATTACCGTACGCTCCTCCTTCTCCTGCCCTGTCTCCCACTTCTTTCGAAATTTTGAGGTGTCGTTCATGGTACTCTATGGCTTTCTGAAAATCTCCAAGACTGTCATAGGCGTTGCCAAGATTACAGTACGCTATTCCTTCTCCTGCCCTGTCTCCCACTTCTTTCGAAATTTTGAGGTCTCGTTCATGGTACTCTATGGCTTTCTGGAAATCTCCAAGACTGTCATAGGCGTTGCCAAGATTACAGCACGCTTTTCCTTCTCCTGCCCTGTCTCCCACTTCTTTGGAAAGTTCGAGATGTCGTTCATGGTACTCTATGGCTTTCTGGAAATCTCCAAGACAATCATAGGCGTCGGCAAGATTACAGTACGCTTTTCCTTCTCCTGCCCTGTCTCCCACTTCTTTGGAAATTTTGAGGTCTCGTTCATGGTACTCTATGGCTTTGTGGAAATCTCCAAGACTGTCATAGGCGTTGCCAAGATTACAGTACGCTTTTCCTTCTCCTGACCTGTCTCCCACTTCTTTGGAAATTTTGAGATGTCGTTCATGGTACTCTATGGCTTTCTGGAAATCTCCAAGACAGTCATAGGCGTCGCCAAGATTACAGTAGGCTTGTCCTTCTCCTGCCCTGTCTCCCACTTCTTTGGAAATTTTGAAGTGTCGTTTATGGTACTCTATGGCTTTCTGGAAATCTCCAAGACTGTCATAGGCGTTGCCAAGATTACAGTACGCTTTTCCTTCTCCTGCCCTGTCTCCCACTTGTTTGGAAATTTTGAGATGTCGTTCATGGTACTCTATGGCTTTCTGGAAATCTCCAAGACAGTCATAGGCGTCGCCAAGATCCCAGTACGCTTCTCCTTCTCCTGCCCTGTCTCCCACTTCTTTGGAAATTTTGAGGTGTCGTTCATGGTACTCTATGGCTTTTTGGAAATCTCCAAGACTGTCATAGGCGTTGCCAAGATTACAGCACGCTTTTCCTTCTCCTGCCCTGTCTCCCACTTCTTTGGAAATTTTGAGATGTCGTTCATGGCACTCCATGGCTTTCTGGAAATCTCCAAGACAGTAAAAGGCGGTGCCAAGATTACAGTACGCTTTTCCTTCTCCTGCCCTGTCTATCACTTCCTTGGAAATTTTGAGGTCTCGTTCATGGTACTCTATGAGTTTCTGGAAATCTCCAACACTGTCATAGGCGTTGCCAAGATTACAGTACGCTTTTCCTTCTCCTGCCCTGTCTCCCACTTCCTTGGAAATTTTGAGGTCTCGTTCATGGTACTCTATGGCTTTCTGGAAATCTCCACGAGTGCCATAGGCGTTGCCAAGATTACAGTACGCTTTTCCTTCTCCTGCCCTGTCTCCCACTTCTTTGGAAATTTTGAGGTCTCGTTCATGGTACTCCATGGCTTTCTGGAAATCTCCAAGACTGCCATAGGCGTTGCCAAGATTACAGTACGCTTTTCCTTCTCCTGCCCTGTCTCCCACTTCTTTGGAAATTTTGAGGTCGCGTTCATGGTACTCTGTGGCTTTCTGGAAATCTGTAAAGTTAACATAGGTGTCGCCAATAGTACTATTCGCTTTTTCTTTCTCTGTCCTCTCCCCAACTTCATCGGCAATCTTTTTGGTATTTCCAAGATTACAGGTGACCTGTGTTTGTCCTTTCGCAGCCATTCCACTAACAAATTGCAGGTAAAATATACGTAGTGCTTTTCCCGAAGATAGTTTTAATTGTCACATTTTTTGCTTACTTTGCTATTTCAGCTCTTCTGAAAAAAAAGTATAGATATGTTGTGGGTTTTTGTTTCGTTGATACCATTTCTCTATATGTAAGATAACGTTTGATAACGAAAATGAAAAGTAAAATTAAAACATTGAGTAAAAGCTTATCTATTAGCTCTTTTATTATTCGTTTTTGTCCATGATCACTGTCGCAATTGGTTTGCCACAACTAAATCGTGATCGTTCTACTTGTTTTTTATCGTTGTGTCATGTGACTTGATAAACTGGGGTTTTCTCCTAAAAAAGGTAAAAGACATTCTTTTTGGTGATCAGTGATCGAAATGAAAAAAGAAAACAGATTTACCATTGTTTAAACACGGTGTATATTATCTATCTAGTCGTTGTACATTCATCTGTCCTCCATGGAAAATACTAAAGGTTTTGGCAACAAACTACAAATCATCCTGGGAGACCCAGGGCAGATAGTGGGGGCGAGGGAAAGTCTAAACGGGCGGAAAATATGGCACGAAGAAAAGTAAAGAACGGCGAGAAGAGCCCCTGGGGACAATGTCTTACCAGACCAGTTCCAAACGGTTGCCGCCGTTCTGACTTCTGATTGCTGCCAGAAAACGTGCGCGCCCACTATCTGCTCCTGGGTCTCCGAGGATGACCACAAATCGGGCCAGTAGGAATATTCAGAAAAGTCAAATTTCCGAAAGTTAACTTATTTCTAAGGTTTAAAATCTCTTGCTAGCGGAATAGAAATTTACAGCAAATGAAAAGAATATATATTTCTATACCTCCAGTTATTTTAAGCTTGTGGAATTTCAGAAAACTATAATTATGGTTCATATAAAATAGGACAACCCCCTTGACTCCTTGCCTTGCTCGGTTTCAGCTTAAGAGCGATGGTCAGGAAAAATCGAGAACAATCTCAATTTAGTGACAGGAGTTAAAAAATGAATTTGTCCATAGATAGCTTTTAGGTAGATAAGAAATCTAATGTAGACTGTTCCCGCCAGAAGCCTTTTATTTGTGGTTTTCGATGTCGGAGTCTCAGACTGCCCTTAATTTTTGACCTGAAATTCGCTAAGAACAACTTTCGTCGTGTGCGCAAAGGAAGGCGCATGGAGAACAACTCGGTAAGTGTAAAAACCTGAGTAAGGAGTTTTCCTTTTTTTACTTCTTGTTGTCATTAGCTAATATAGCTCTGTTACGTTGACGTGTTTGAATTTTTTTTGTGTCAGGTCACTTACGAAGATTGCAAGTTCTTTTCAAATACACCCGTCCGAGGATGAGCCGGTTTAGAAAGATTTCTGTCTACAGATTGCCCTTATAATTTAAGAGCCAACGTGGGAAAATATCGAGAATCTCAAATCAGTTCTAAAAATTAGAATTTTGGCTAATACCATTCAAACAACCCCTTAGGTGAACTATTTCAAGAAATAATATCAAGAATTCCTCAAGAGCTTTACATTTTAAGAAATTTGGAAAAGTTCAAAAATTCGATAAAAATACATTTATTTATTCGCGAAATTGCTGCAAATTTCAACAGTTTTCAAGAAAGCAGTACAAGAGCGCAAAAGCTCCTATTGACTTGACCTTGCCAAGCATTTACCGGTTGCCCAAAGCTTTAAGACTGCATAAAAATGACTCGCAAAATAACTTTTGTAATATAGTTTTGGGCTTTTATTGTTTGCACCTTGATTGTGTGCTGTTTTGGCGGTCGAAATAACGCCCAACTTTAACCGTAAAAAGTCGATTCTGGTAAGCTCTGGTATGTCTCAAATTTAAATTATGATTATACTATATGAAAGAACTAGATTCTTTTAACTAGACCTGAAGTTTCAGCTCTGCGAATTTAAACGCTTGCGAAAAATAAAATTTTGAATATAGCCCCTCGGACCACCTTAAGCGACAAGAATGTGAAATGTAAACAAAGCAGAAACCGTGTAAACAAAGGAGAAAATTACACCAAAGTTATTTCTAGCCCACCAAAGCGCAAGGAAATGATGGAAATTTCGGTATCTAATTAGGTATTGCTATCTGAAGGCTAAAAACTAAGGCGAAATTCGAAAATCTGACAGTCGCCTACAGTGGCAAGGATTTATTCACGTCATCCAGTCATGTATAGTCAAGAACAACTCTGCGATAGCAATCATGCAGAATGTGTTTTGTTCAGTCAAAGCCTAGTACCTACACTTACGACAAAAGGCATACTTTCTACAAGATCCTCGATTCCCTGTACGTTCGCAGTCTATGGAAGTTAAAATCATGCGCATTGATTCAGTGGCCCACAGGTTGGTTAGGGGAGCTAATTGCAGATTGCCTTGAACCCACATTTAAAATTCACGTTCGCAGTTTTATAAATAAAGACCATGTTGTCAAAAATGCCACTAAATTACCAGCGCTCTTGTTTCACTTGGAGAAATTGGGGTTTTGTGCACGTAGCTTGTATGGAGGTAGCCTACGAGCAAGTTCTCCCTTTGGAGGAGCCGCGAGAAGCCACACGAGAGCAGCACACAAACGAAGACGCAAGTGTAAGGGGCGGGGAAAGAGAGGAAGAAGTTTCTTCCTTGCACAGTATAGATGTTCCCAATTTCTTTAAGCACCGTGGTCCTAAAGGTGCAGCAAAAATTCATGACGGGTCAGCCAGGAGCTCGAGTGTCATCGATTCTAATTAATTGTGTGTGAGTTATTCTTCTGCCAATGGTATTTCGCTCCGTGTAAGTGAAGCAGAATGAAAATTTATAAGGGATCGTTACAAGCCCTTCCTTTTCTCTACCCATAAGCAGGGGCACCCAACGTCAGTTTTTTCGGAAAATATCTGTTCGGAAGACGATTTATGATCTAGAATTTTCGGAACATTTGTTGTAAAATTTCTTGCTTGCCTGCCTCTCCTAGGATTTTCGAACATCTAAAAAATGGTATAATTGCCCATTTTAACGGATTTTTACCCTTAAAAGGTCACCTAGAATTTTCGGGAGCCTTTTTTCTGGCTGAAATTTTCGAAAAGGTAAGTTTTGATCCCTATAATTTTCGGATCACTAGACTTTCAGCTAGGAAATCCGAACAGATGAAAAATATTTTAGGGGATAAAAAATATGCCTATATCTATTTAAATACAAAATACGTTTAACAATGCCATGTTTAAGTGGTTTTGAACTATATTCTCGTTGGGTACCCCTGCATAAGGGCTTTTGCTACTTCATTCTGCGTTCCCAGCTCGTGGATCCTTTCGGTAGCCATATAAATGGAGAGCTTGCTGGCAGGCTCAGGTATGGTTGCAAACACAAAAGTAACAGCGGTCAGCTAAGCAGCGAAGATCCGCACACAGTGTCAATGAACTCAAAATCTCTATAATTTACAAAAGTTGTTATCAAATCTTTTAGTGCCTTATGACATTAGCAGTAGAAAACTGAAGAAAACGATACTATTGGTTGCTGTCCATTGTTGTCGAGAACATCGTCTCTGTTGAAAAGTCCGTATTGAAAATAGCCAGCGTGGCAGGCGCTTGAAAGTATTTGGGCTCAGGAAAGAACAGGCGCGCGTGAGGGAGACACACTTGAGTGGATAGACACGCGTGTCTCCCTTACGCACCCCGTTCTTTCTTAAGATTTTCAAGCGCCTGCTACGCAGCCTACATTGAAAAACAATAAATAGTACCTTTCCACATTTGAAGGCAAATCCACCCAAGCACGTTTAGCGTCCTTTTTACATTATCTATGATCGGCATGATCTGCGTCGCTTTCAATTACAACACCGCTCGAAAATTTGCTAAGTTAAGCACCACCCTCTGGGTATTTACTAAATACCGTAAATCAGCCTTTTTACGCCCACTTCTAACACCTCTGTTCTTGAGAACGCCCCCTCAACGCTGTTAAAATTGTATTAGACCCCCCTCTAATAAACGCCCCCTGTCTAATAGAGAATTTCTAAGAGAATTCACTCCAAAATACTAGGAATTAGCAAAAAGGAGAAAATCATTCAATTCATTCATTTTCTTGCTGATTAACTGAGGGTTTGAGTGTTTTTATTTTCATCCTGTTAATATACTAAGGATGGAAACACAATAATCCTGAGGGAGGATTCTGACATCAACGGGCTGGGATTTGAGAAGAGCGATATGGATCTCCAGACGGCCTAGATGGAGTGGAAAAAATATTAAGAGTTTAAAAATAAGTTTTGTTACAGTTATAACAATAAGCACTTCTCCCTTTTAAACGCCTCATATCTATTAAACTCCCCCGCTTGGACCCATAGAAGTCAAAAGACGTCCCGGGTCAGTGCGGGTGTTTATTGGGTCATTTACGGTTAATTGCGTTCGAGGTACGAGAACGCAACCCCTAATTTGTGTTAGGTGTTTTGTGCATCATTGGGTGTCCTGTGCAATTAATAAGGGAGGTTTTTTCGAGATTGCATTCGTCCTCGTCGTCGTCGACACACATTTGCCTCGCCTTGAGGCGCTTGCTTACGTTTTGCCTCACTTTGACGCGCTAGCTCACTGGGTGATTCGTGTGCCCTCGGCCTTCATCTTTCAAACGTTTGCTGAGGTCTGCTATTCTGTCTTCGTAAATCGTTCACCTTTAAAAGTGTGCTTAATTTTCGTAAAGCCTACGTATTTAAGAGTTTGCTGAAGGCCTACTATCTATCTGTGTGAATGAAACTTCCAAAACGTTCATTTTTCAAAAGTGTGCTGAAAGTTACACTATGAGTAAAATTTTACTTTGGATTGAGCCTTCATATTTTTCTTTGGAAGATGCGTGCTACTCCTGATGCATGCATCAAACCGGGTTGTTTAGCTCGGCTCAGGCATGTTAAGGCAT